TATCTAGTCTGTAAAATATGTTTCAACTCTAACTCCATCAACTAATCTAGTTAGTTTTGTATACCCTTCATTAACTAAGATCCACATATGATAATCAAGCGACTGTAAAAATGTAAACATGCATGTTTTTCAAAAATTAAAAGGAATATTGTCGAACAATGGATGTCTAGTTATAGAGTAACCCTCAAGTGTGTTTCAGTTTCCAAATGTAGTCATGGTCGTTAATTAAAAAATTAATCTAAACTTATAATTTTGAAACTATGCTCTGATGCAACTTGTTGAAACTTTGTTATATATGAATTAGGTTATTAGACCTAAGCTTATATCCCAGCGGCTAACCAAGAGGGGGGTGAATTGGTAATTTAAATAATTATGCCTCTTTTTGAACCGATAAAAAGTTTAGTGAAATTTTTTTATAAAAATAATTTTTCAACCACACATTCAAGCAGAAAAAGTAAAGTAAAAAAGCAACAGAAAATAAAAGACACAAGATTTATAGTAGTTCGATCAAACACGACCTTTATCCACTCCCTAAAGTCTCCCACTTCAAATATTACACTATTACTACTTAGTTTCTCTCTTCCACCACTACCCGGTGCGGCAGAGAACCACCGTCCCTTTACACCCTCCAAGTGTAGGCATAGTACCTAATAATGTTCACACTCTCAAAGTGTAGGCAAAGAACCTTTCGTCCTTTCACATTTCTCCAAGTGTAGGTAGAGCACCCTTCGTTGTTCACACTCTCCAAGTGTAGGCAGAGAACCTTTCATCCTTTCACACTTCTCTAAGTGTAGGTAGAGTACCCTTCGCCATTCACACTCCTCGAGTGTCAGTAGAGAACTGGTTCTCATTGACAATATCTTCTTACGAGAAATCTAGAAGGACAAGAGAGAAGAGTGAAGTAATCACAATTCAAAAATAAAGATCATTACCTTTGAGTACCAAGTGAATCCTTCACGCTCCAATGGTAAGAAATCGCCTTCTAACACTCTCTCACACTCTCTCCTTCATTCTCTCTTCAGTTTGTACGAAGACCATGGGACAAAAAGATTAAGAAACAATTTTAAATGGACATTTTATATGAAAGACATAAAAAACTATCGAAAAACTACTAAATTACAAATTTGTGCGTACTTGATCGTCCTGTATGATCGTGATTTCGTCTGTATGAATAGTGTAAAAACTGTTGCATACGAACACAATGTACCTTGGTACAAAATAAATTCGTACCTAATAATCATCCCGTAAAGACTAAGTTCGTCCGATACGAACAATTATATCAAGGGTTCATTGCGAATAAACTCCATGATGGTCCATATGTTTAAGAAACAAAGGACATCATCCTGGGACGAATGTACAAGTTCATCTGGACGAACCGAACAAGGCATGAGTCCAGAGAATATCATCCTGGGATGAACTAGGTAAATTGTCTGGACGAATAGTTCAAGTCATGGGTCCAGAGAACACCATCCTGGAACGAACTGGGAAAATCGTCTAGACGAATAGTTCAAGTCATGGGCCTAGAGAACATCGTCCTAGGACGAACTAGGTAAATCGTCTGGACTAATATTTCAAAGTGAGAAAATAGAGAACATCGTCCAGGGACGAATGGGACATTTTATCTGGATGATCAGGACTTAAAAAAATTTTCTTCACTTTCTGTTCGTTCCATTACATCGAGGGGTATAACTGCCTGATCGTCTCGTACGATCAGTATAAGAAATTTTTTATTTTTAAAGATCTTCCCCTATGTGTGTGCTAAATTACTCATTACAATCACACTCTCTCATATTCAATAAAGATGAAAAATATATACTTCAATTTACAAAATATCTTATGCTAGAATTTGATTTGAAGTATTCATTAGTCTAGAGTACGATTGTCCTGAAATGTTAGTCCACATAAGAGCAAAAATAATTCTTCCAAAAAGTGTTAGGAGAAAATAATAATTAAAATAATAATATTTTGAATCATCAAAATTATACAAGTTGCAATAATGTAAAACATACAAAAGCTAAGTAGCAACTCTCTTAACAAAACTTGGCAGAGGAGAGCATCCGGGGCCCGCTGGATATGCACAATGGTGCGGTAGTGATCGATATGCTCATAGGGGTCTGACGTCCTATTATAACTGTCAATACTTAGGAGTTTGAATCCTATCAGAATAGGGTGTCGGAGGACATCTTCAGTGAAGGGTGATGATTCCTGAAAGTCTCATTGACAAAGAGATTATCTTATATCTCCTGTGGGGAACTCCTCTAGGACTAGTCTCCATAATTCATGTCGTAGGGCATTACGGGGGAGTTAAGTGATGTGTTATTGGACCATGTCCTCGAGAACGTCTGGAGGAATGTGATGCCGGTGGCCTGTGTGCGAAGGATGGGTAGAGCTTGCTGTGAGACCTCGTTCCCTTACTGTTCCTCTCTAGCTTGGATTTTCCTCCCAGGATCGTCCAGGACGATAGTGAGATCGTCCAGGCCGATCTGTACTATTCAAAATATCGTCCTGAAACTAGTTCTGGGAACCGTCCAGGACGATCGATTTTGGTCTGATCGTCCCGGGACGATTTGGCGATCGGCCGGGCCGATCAGCCTAATGATATAAGAAAATCAGCTCGTTTTGAGGAGAGAGAAAATCATTTTTTATAAAAACAGATATTTTGAGGAGAGAGAAAGAGAAAGGGAAAAGAGGAAAAGCTGGGTTTTGGAGGCCGCGGAGCGCTTTTCGTTCGATGCCGCTGTTGGAGAAAGTGTAGATCTCGTGGTAAGGACTCCGAATCCTATTTCTGTTTTCAGAGATATTGAATTTTGACCGAGTTGTGCACTGTTTTGTGTTTTCGTAGTCGAATTTTTGACATGATTTCGATTTGACACAATTTTCACCGTACAACTTTTAGTATGTTATAGATATGACGATTGTACACGATTTGA